TAATTCTTCAATTTTTCGAAATATTGATTGTAACATCTGTGAATAAGATGTCAGTTCTTTTAGACTTCTAATCATAGCATCCAATAATGTATCTCTATTACTATGCATATCGTAATACATTTTTATTTTTGTGAATAAAGAACTCCACTTAGACATAACTTCGAGAGTATTTGCAAGAGAGACGACATCAATGTTTTCTAATGCATTTTTATATTTTTTCTCATGTTCACTCGAGTAATCTTTAATTTTTCTAATTAATGTGTTGATTTTTTCATTAAAATCTTCTGGAAGTATATGAATCATAACCTTTTGATCGTTATGATCATCTTTAAATTTCATAAATTCTATCAAACAAATAAAACTTTTCTCTACTACTGCAATACTTTCATTTGCACTCATAGATATATTAGGATTTAAAAATCGATTCATTAAACATAAATATGCATCTTCAAATATTTTTATTATTCGTAGTTGTACTTCCGAATATGGTCGTTTAATATCATCAATAACGTCTTCCAATTCAATTTTGTAATCACATAATTTTTTTACATTAGTTAATGCTTCTCTAATTTCGTAATTTTCAAAATTTTGATTTATTTTCAAAATAATTTCTTGTATCTGTCTCAAAGCAAGTTCTTCACCTTTATTGATAAAAGATTGCATACCTTGTGAGCTTTGATATTCTAGAAGAACATTTTTCATACTTTTAACATCTCTACTACTAAATGCATTTTGTAATTTTTTTTCATTATCTCGAATACGAAGAACAATATCATCTTTGCAATATTTTAATTCAACTTCAAGAGCACTTCTCATTGCTTCGGATAAATATTTAACTGCAGATTCGAATCGTCTTATATGTATGTTTTCCGAATCAGGTGGTTGTTTTGATTTAGCTTTATCTAATTCTTCTCTGAATTTAGTCAAAATTTTCTCTTTTATTGTACTTAAAGCTTCATTATATACTGGATTTGTGTTGTTAACTTGTTCAAATCTTGCAAAAATATCTGCTGGTGGATTCATAGTATATTGATTCATATCCATTTCTGCATATTTATCAACAACATTAGTCGATACAATATCTTTTTGAGACTCTTAATTCTTCGATCTGCTAAGAAATTTCTTTTCCATAATACTTTCCTAATAAAGTACATACTAACGTGATTGAGTCGATTTTTTTATCTGCTTCAAAGAAATTATGATTATCTATAAGAGTTTTTACTCCTACTAAGAAGCGTTTTATTCGCTTTTCAATTTTTTCTTTAACATCTTCTATACAATTATCTATTTCATCTGGTGCATCTAAGTGTTTTTCTATAAATTGTCTTGCTCTTTCTATTCTTTTCAAATTTTCTCCTATCAATTTTATTTCTTCTATTTCTATATTATTTCCAAGCGTAATCGCTTGAGCTTTAGTTCCATCTATTAATAGATTTAAACTAGCATTAAGTGATTGTTTAACTTCTGCATAGTAATGTTTTCCTACTTCATTCGATGACTGTAATGCCATCATTTTATCCGCAACTCGTTGATAATCAAACTCTTTAATAGCATCTATAATTTGTTGACTAACGCCAGAAATTTTTTCAAAAATTATATTTTGATAAGTACGATAAATATCAGTAAATTTTTCACCTTCTAAAAACCAATCTAATTTTCTTAATGCTTGTACAATCGATAGTTTAGTATTTAAAGCTTCAATTTGATCTGTATGATTTAATGTTTTCATTTCATCTGATAGTTCAATTAAATAATTCGATAAGTCATTTTTCCAATCTTTAACTATAGTTTTCTTAGAAAACCGAATAAAAACACGAGAATATTTTGTGTCTATTTCACATATTTCTTGTAGACGATTAGATATTATTCGAACTTTTTCTAACATACTTTATTTATTTTGATTTTGATATTGTTTGATCATTTCAAAAGAACTTTCCATTTCATTTTGAATAATATTACTAAAATTTCTTATAAATTCTTCTAAACTATTAAGTACAGATAAACAATCATTTCTAATTAAGACATGTATTTGTTTACAAATCTCTAAATATCGTAATGCTTTGTCAGCTTTACTCGAATCTAAACTTTTATATTCTTGTTCTTTTCATTTTTCTAAACTAAATGTATCTTTAATAATACAAAATACATTATTGGTTATTTCTTGCAAGAAAGAATTAACTTCATTTATATGCTTATCTACAGATGGAATAAAATTTTGAAAATGTTTCATTTCATTAATTTCAGATACTATTTTATTGACATATTCAATTTTATCAAAATTATCAAGATCTAAATTAACTTGCATAATCGGTTCTTTTCATTCTATTATATATTGAATAATTTGTTGTTCAACATTATTTATTACATCTGAGTAAACTCCAGTTCGATATATTTCAATCCAATGAGTATTTTTTAGATTTGATAAACATTGTGTAAGTTTATTATAATCAACTTTTCCTTCACGTCGAAACATAACTCGTAAAAGTTCTTCAGCATCTCTTCTTGATTCATATACATATCCAACTAATTTTTCTACAGTAGCATAATATATTTCAGTAGTTTTAAGTGCAATACTAGAAATTGTTCTGATCGAATCTAATTCTTTCATGAATTCTTCTAATGTATGAGATACATTTCTATTCTGAATTTCTGTATTAATTTTTTTAACAATTTCTTCAAAATAATTCAAAATTTTCGATGAAACATTTTCATAAATTTTATTAATATCTTCTTTTGAAATATGTTCATGAAGATTGAATGTATTCATAGCTGTTTCGAGCATACGTACACAACTATTTAGATGATCTATGTCAATTTGTTCTAGTTTTACTTTTGTAAAAATATCACTTAAGTCTCTTACAGAATTACTTAGATAATTTAGAAAATCTTTTTTCAACTTTAAATATTTTGTTTCTATAGCTTTGTCATTTAAATGATCATGTAAAACATTGGATGCATCATATAATTTCACCATGATAGTAGCACTATTAGTAAATTGATTAGATAACACAGTTTTTTCGAAACAGTTTTCTATCAAGTCGACTTTTTCAGCGAACGATTGACAAACAACTTTATATGTATCATTAATATCATGAAAATATTCTGAAAGAAGTTTTATTTTATCTAAACTTGCTTTTACTGATAAATCATCAATATTTTTTTCGCTTAGATCTGTATGCATTTCATATACTTTCTGATTTAAATATTAAATAAATGCACTACTATGAACGACATCCTTTCCTAAATGTGCATGTCTTAACTGTAATTCTTCTACATGATTAGCATGATTGATATATGTTTGATAGTTTTTAATGTCTTCATTAGTCAAAATTGTTTGATACATTAAACATCGATTTAAAATTGAGATACCTTCTTGATATTCTTCAGAAAGATGTGTACTTAAATCTCGAATACAATCAATATGAATTTGTTTAATATATTCTTGATTAAATAAATCATTTAATGTTTTTAATTGATCAAGTTTATATTTTATTAATGCATAATCAAAACGCTTAATTCCTGATCTAATATTTGATTGATACTTTCTTAATTGCTCATGTACTGTGTCTCTAGAATTTTTCGTAATAGTAAATTGAAAATCTTCATCTGAACGATGAATAGCATTAGACTTTATTGGATCTATGATTTGTGCACCATCTTCTGTTTTGTACAACATGTCTGTCAATATATTCATAAAACTAATATTCGATTTTTCTTTTTCATTCAATGTACTATATAAATGTCTTTTAATGATGCATGAATCGTATCTCTTTCGTTTTCAGGATATTTTGTAAATAAATAAGAGAAAGCTTGAATATAATCTTTAATTCCTGGAATTAATCCTGCTAATAAATGAGTAAGATTTTTCAAACCTTCATATCTATTACCACTGCTTTTATAACTAACTAGTACAACTGGTTTTACACTTTTACATCCTTTTATTGCTTTAACAATACCTATTCCATTTGCAATATCTACTTCAGGTCCTCTAGTATCATAAAATCCTGGACTATCACACAAAATAATACTATTGCTACTATATATACCAACATCTTCAGGTTTGAAAGAAACAGATGTGATGTATTGAGTTACAGACTTAGCAAATGGTGCAGTTTTTATATATTTTAGATCTAAATTCTTTATTGCGGTAGGTGCAATATGATTCAATCCATTAATTTTTTTTTTCAATCATTTTTGAGCCAGCAAGAAAATGAATAGTGGTTGATTTACCTGATCTAGTACCTCCGAGAAAAAAATAATATCTTTATTTTTTATTAATTCTGCTGTATTTTCGACTTTATTAATGAGTCGAAACAATTTATATGTATCTAATGGGTTGATCTCTTTGAATATGTTTCTTAATGAAATTATCGAAGATTCCCAATTTTCATTTTTTATATTTATTGAAAATCTTTCAATTGATTCTTGAATTTCTGAAGCCGATAATTCTTCTACGTTTAGTCGCTCTTTCAAACATTGATATTCTTTATCTATTTCTTTTTGTATTTGATCGGGTCGTACGATATTCTCATCCAGAATTATAGTGTTATCGACTAATTTAAGAGATATATAATATAGTAAACTAATTACGTGTCTTTCTGAACACATTGGCCTTAAGACAAAATCTTGGTACATGTTACTTAGACTTTCCTTTGTAATTGGAAATTCCTCTTGGTCGCAGTTGTCGATTACATCATCATTTTGTTGATTATCATTTACTGATCTGTTTGACATTTCATCATTAATATTTTCACGAGAATATTTCAAAATATTGACTTTATCGACTAAAGATTGAAGTTCTTCTAATGCTGATAAAGAAATTCTTCGTTTTCGTGCATTATTACGTTTTCCTTCGTGCTCTAAATTTTCCATTTCTTGCTTCTTTCTTACGATTCGTTCCTTCAACTCCTCCTCACTACTGATATCATGTTCTTCAAAACCATCTTCTAGTTGCTTCTTCAACGCTTCGTACGATTCCGGTATCAATGGTCTGTCTCTTTCGTAAATGGAAGGATCAGTTGTCAAACTCTTGAAGATCCTTACTCTTTGTTGGAGTCATTATATCTATTCTGTTTCTGGTACTGCCACTGGTAATTGTAACGTATGATGATAGTTAGAGTTTTGTATTTCACTAGTCGATTTTGGTTGTGAATGAGAAAATTTTGAATTATTACCTTCTGGTAAAACTGGTTTATCAACAGCTTGATTTTCCTGTGGTCAATTTAATGATTGGTCTTCAAATAAACAATTCATTCTTTGTCGATCATCTGTGACTTGAATGTGTGACAGATTCATATTTGAAGATTTAATTTCTGCAAATTCCGATTCTTTGACTGCTTTTAATAAGTTTTTAATGGTTAAGAATGCACTATATTGTCGATCACCGTAAATTTGAGATACTCTTGATCGTAAAACAGTACTTGGGAAAACGTTTCGAAATTTCCGTTGTAATTTATCAGGAATAAAATTAGATTCCTTCACTGGATTAATAAATTCAGCCAGTTCAATCTGTTCATCGACTTTAAATTTTATTATTACTCCAATCCAATGAAAATCTCCCAGATTGTAAGGAATAAGTATAATTCGTTCTCCAGCATAATTTGTTTTTGCTTGTCGCAAGCGTTCCTCCGATTGACCATCTATACTATAATCAACAGCTGTCAATACATGAATTGATTTTGAATAGCGTTCAGAATACTGTTCCCTTAACTTTTTCACTTTACATGAAAGAACTTCTTGGACGTTTATATTTTGATAGGATTGGTTATCAAACTCTGTTGGAGTCTCCATTAATCAAAATGTTTCTTTCTTCTACTTGAACAGTTTGGATTTCTTTATTTTTCGAATATAAGGAAATTATTTTGGAACGATGCCCTCTTGAAGCACTTAGAGATCTGCACGAGCATTTCGTCGTGATCAAAGAAAAAGATTTTCCGTTAATAGTTTTCATGGTGGATGTGAAAAAATAATTCCATTTAATATTCTGTGTTCACAAATTTCAAATAGAATTATTTTTTTCTATCCATACTCATCTTTGATGAGGAAAAGTCATTGTTGCATACATTACTCTATGGATAAACGAAAATGAATACTCTATCTACTAGAAAAAACAGCTATGTGCTATATTTTCTTAATGCAAAAGAAAATTAGAGTTTATTTTTAAATAAAATAAAACTATTTCGTAGCTTTGCCCTTAACTAACAATAAATTCTGCCTAAGTTCAATTTTTCCTGCACTGTAAAAAAAGAATAAGGGCTTAAGAGTCAGCAAGGGGACGCCAACCATTTTCCTGTTTATTATTCTCCAGTTTTTTTTCAGTGCACAATATGCATAAATGTTAGAGAAAAATTTGCAAGAGAAACCTTCTGTTAAGAACAAGTTCTATTATAATCATACGAAAAATAAATGATCAATCATTGAAATCTCATAACTTACAATGTAGTTAGATTAATTAGTCGACAGAGCAATAACAAATATTTATTGAGACACGGCACAAATCGTTTAAAATATCACTACTTGTATTATATCTGAAATAAAATAAATATCGTAGACAAAGCATTTATATAATTGTCTCCTTGCGGGCGCATAATCACAAGTAATGAAAGACAAAGTCTATATATAACAGATTTTCATGTGATTACTATATGCTTGAAGTAAGAAAGAAAAAACGAAATAAATTTTCTTCGTAGTCTAGTCTTCATGTGTGTCTTGCATTCTTTTGCTTTTCATTTTACTCTCACTATATAAAGCAAGATAGAATGTGAAAAAGCCCAATTAACAACATGTTGAGTAAGATAGGAATAAACCACTATGTGATACACTTCGCATGTATGAAATAAAAAAATCCACTATTTGCTTTTAATGTTATAACACGCAGAAAATCAAGCTGGGTAAATATGAATAAAAAAAATTTCCAACAAACAATGTTAGAAAAAGCAGTGCCACACAAAAATGCAGGACGAGTAAATCCCAAATACAAAACAAATTCTGAATAAAGGAATAAAAACAACACAGTAGAAAAAAAGAAATTACGAAAGGTAATGTTCAAAAAACAATGGAACGA